TGCCCACCACATACTGTCTGAACTGATATGCTTCCTGTGACCAATCGATAAGCTCTGAGGAACGATGAACACAGATTTTAGATCGTCTCTGCCCCCAGGGGGATGCAATTTGCCCACAAAATTTCAGTGCGCCACCTTTCAAAGACGACCTACCAGGCGTAGGCGACTAGGAACAGCGGTAAACCACTTTTAATTAAGCTGCTTCAAACCGGAGTGTTGGGAAAATGAGCATCACCGGAGGTAGTTTGCATTACTTCACATAAAATATGTTATGGTGCAATGTACAATTAAATGATACAATCCTCATCCAAGTATAAGGTAAGCAGATTCCTGCAAATTCCAGTTAACGACTGGGTTTTGTGGGGACTTTGGAGCCCGCGCGCATTGCACATTGTGGCCACTTGGAGATTTGTGTCCTTACTCAGTGCGTCAGAATGTAAGGGGACGAAGTTACCGTGATATAGTTAAAGCAGTCTTAGGCGCTATGTTTGAATCATCAAAGGTGTTCAGCCTTTTGCATCTAAGTGATTAAGGCAAGCTGCCGATGGCAACAAAATCTTCTGGTCATTGCTACTACCCAATAGTTTGTGTCATTCGGGGTATAGCGCAGAGAGTGAAATTGTGGATAAGGACGGGACTTTTTATGGTCACTCATTGCATTGTCCAATAATATCCTAGTGAAAATCAGTGGTGTCCATATTACATTATGGAGCAAAAAAGATAAGCTGCATAATGAAAGTCAAATGAAACAACCGCACAAATCTAACACAGGCGAACCTAACAGCAGGCATTGGTTTACGCGTCTATACGAAACAACTAAAACTAAAACTAAAACTTAAAGTAAAATCACGGGCAAGAAACATTTTCTCCTTGTTCAGTGAATGGGTGTATCACGCACTATTGACACAGCCATGTGTCCGCCACGTGCTGATCAAGTCACATGCCGGGATGACACGGAGCTGTTAAAAAGTGCGGACGGTGTCCTGTCGACCCGGAGCTGGTAACGAATGCGGACGGTGTCCTGTCGACCCAGAGCTGGTAACGAGTGCGGACGGTGTCCTGTCGACCCGGAGCTGGTAACAAGTGTGGACGGTATCCTGTCGACCCAGAGCTGGTAACAAGTGCGGACGGTGTCCTGTCGACCCGGAGCTGGTAACAAGTGCGGACGGTGTCCTGTCGACCCGGAGCTGGTAACAAGTGCGGACGGTGTCCTGTCGACCCGGAGCTGGTAAAAGTGTGGACGGTGTCCTGTCGACCCGGAGCTGGTAACGAATGCGGACGGTGTCCTGTCGACCCCGGCTGTGCGGAGCGGGCGACGCACTCCGCCAGGCGTGCGCCGGACTCAGCCGTGTGGCTCCGGGGTACCTGAGACGGGGTCTGCTGATGCAGCGTGGCCGGCGCCGCCGCCGCTGTCACGTGATTGCCGGTGTTGCGGAGGCGGTGCGGCCGCTGATGTCACGTGACTGGCGGTGCCGTAAGAGGCGGCGCGCCCTCCGATGTCACGTGACTGTCGTTCCGCGTGAGGCGGTGCGGCCGCCGATGTCACGTGACCGCCGGTGCCGTGAGAGGCGGCGCACCCTCCGATGTCACGTGACCGCCGTTGCCGGCGAGGCGGTGCGGCCGCCGATGTCACGTGACTGCCGGTGTCGCGTGAGGTAGACCGGCCGCCGATGCCGCGCGACTGCCGGTACTGCGGAGGAGGAGTGGCCGCCGATGTCGTGTGAAATCATGCCGAACGCGAGAGAAGCTTTGGCTCGGCCAAACCGCCTGGAAAACGTGGCCGCTTCGTTGCTTTTGTACTGCGGTGCGGCCTGGCTTTAGCCATGGCAAAAGCTTTGCGTGCTAAATGTATCGAAGATTTGTGATAAAAGGGGTTTATGTTGCTTTTGGAGATAGAATAACACACCGTCCTGGTATTGGTGTTTTTAGCCTAAAAATTACTTTTTGTAGGAGCGTGTCGTAGTCAAAGCTGAAGAGCGTATCAGCGACGGGAGGAACCTTGAAATGAGTTTGTTTTCAAGTTCAACAACAATATTCTGCACTCTGTGAGAGCCATTTGGGGGATGCAAGGGAGCATAGCGTCAAACCTATTCCAGTACTACAGTGCTATGACTAGATGAGAAGAAGCATCTTTGCATAGAGGCGCCTCCACGGACAAGATCAAGAGGGCTTATGTCACGTGAAACATCATGGTTTGGTGCGTTCGCTGCACTCCATGCTGCGTTCAGCTCAGTGCAGTGCACAACATGTGACAGACCCCATGTAAGAGCTGAGTCGAGGGACGACAAATGAGGTTGGGTATCGCGGCACGCGGGGACCGTGGCCACCAACAGAGGGTCATCAGCTGATAGCAGCGGTGATGGGCCACGCTTCAATCAAATGCCCAGTCATGCTCCTTTGGAAAACTAAATGGGCTTATGACACATGCCGTCAAAGCATGCTCTAAAGAGAGCGGCATTGTTCACCGCGCATAGCAGCATTGTGACCGACAAAAATATCCATTAATTACTAAGCCTCCCATCCCCACTGTCACAAGAGGACTCTGGCTCAGCTTGTTCCAAAAATTTGAAACTCGTTTTCGCATTTTCTCTTATCACCTTGTTTCGCATCTCATGGATGCGCCCGTGAATTTTCTGTATTTACATGTCACCACCACACATAAATTTTGACGTCATTGTTTAACGATATCTGGTGGTTGCGTTGAAATTTATTGATAAGCATGACAACTATGTCTGATCAAAAGTTAATTTACAACTTTGGTCCTACCCATTCACTTTGGCACTCCTTTTGGGAAGTGTTTATGTTTTCTTTTTCGATCTTGTCGATAGCAGTCAATTGTCGTTTATTTTTCCTAATCAGCCCAGCAGCTCCCAAGATCCCACGAGGGGGGATCCCACCCCTGAGTGCGAACAAAATATGTACTGAATAGGATAGGTTTTAAACTAGAGCTCGTTCGAAATACAGTAGCAGGTACACCGCAATCCCAAGGTAGCGCGTCCAAACGTCGTGTTCGGCCGACCGGGCCACCGAGGGGCCGTGTGCGAAGGCCAGGTATCCGCTTCTGCCGACCGGACCAGCCGAGGGGCCGTGTGCGAAGGCCAGGTATCCGCTTCTGCCGACCGGACCAGCCGAGGGGCCGTGTGCGAAGGCCAGGTATCCGCTTCTGCCGACCGAACCAGCCGAGAGGCCGTGTGCAGTGACCAGGCTTGAGGGCATGGTATTAATAGCATCTCATCAGAAGCGCCGGATCTTACCCGTGACGCACGGTAACAAATTGGCCAAGGTTATGCGAAGGTCTGTTCTAGAACTGGTCACCGCGCGCCACAACTTATGTTATGCTTTGGTTAACCCAGACTCACTAGCGCGGCCCAAAGGGTCACATGGGGCGTGCACACAAAGCAACCTCCGATGCACGTGTCCCCCCCCCCCAAATCATGGCGTGTATTTATATGTGTGAGACTTAATGGCGAAAATTAAAAGTTCCAGGTAGACACATCAAAGTCAGGATAACGAGAACGTGTGATGCTCTTTGGGCACAGAAGACATTTCAGCGCACGTTTGATTTCCGATTTCGGACGACTTCTGTGAACAGTTTTAGTTGTAAGTCCTTTCGTTGCAAAATCTTGCGTACGCCACAATGGGGGGGGGGGGAGATTTCTCCCCACCCCGCCAGAATCTGTAATATGGAGATCAGGAAACTTGCTTTGGATCAAAATTTCATTCGTTTCCACGGGCAGTGACTGTCTCGCAGAACAGCCGTAATTCAGTGACAAAGTCAGCGAATACCTGGTGGATATACAAACGATATGCGGCAGAAGCAATTGTGTTCGTCGCCAGGGCAAGCCAGAATTGATAACCCGTCATATGCTAAATACTGTGCATATTAGTGTATGTAGGGTTTACATTCTCTTCACAGTGTGATCGCACTGTAAATATGTTTTGGACTCCGGCGCCAAAGCCCCCCCCCCCCCCCCCCTCACCACGTCGTAAATCCTGGTAGCCGCTCTGGTCGCAAATTTCAAATCCTTCTGCGCGGACAGCTGTGGCAACGGTGTCTGTCGGGCCCAGCCGTTCGCAGTCATGTGTCACTTCAATGACGAGGAGCTGAAGACTCTGTCTCTGGCCTGGTCTAGCCAAGTGAGGGAAGGACACGACACGGTGGCCAAGCGTCTCTGGACTGGCTCAAGGAGACATCTCGTTATGATGTGCTGACGCAACTGAACCGAAGTTAAGTAGGTAAACCATGTGAGTTGTTAAGTGCATTTGCGCGGAACATTATACGTATAGATATGGCAGTACTCTTAGCCTTATTGCTCGTAAAATAACCACAAGGGAGAGATGGCTGTAGTTATATTATGGCCACACATCTTTATCAAAACGAAGATGAGCAGTGAACTCACATTAGAGCTGTTTGAAAACGTACTAAGGATACCAAAATGAAGATGATAAGTAGGACTACACACTTCTGTATCGATAAAGGCGCGTAACCGAAACGCCAAGCAGCTATCTTTCCTTTCTCCTGACTATTCTACAAGGGAAAGAGTTAACAGTACTTTTCTATCTAGAAATGAGTAAATACCGAAATGAAGCAGTAAAAACAAGAAGGACTTGAGGTGATGGACGTCACTTTATCATAGGTTTCGTACTATATGTGACCTAGACATAAGAAATGAAACCTGTCGAAGTTATACATCATTCATTTCAAATACGCACATCTAACGCAGTTACAGACTGCAGGGACATGTGCAACGTTCTGACCTGCTGTTTTCGCCCAGACTGCTCCGTGTGCTTGAATGTTTACGGCTCGTCAAATAGCTCATCACTGCTCGCAATCTGTTTTTGAACACTTCTCTGTTCGGCGCAGGAATGAGCGGGCACTTCTGGCCTGGGGAGTTTCGTGATGTGCGGGCTTCGACGGCTGGATGCTCACGGAGTATGATCAGTCCACCGTTGCCACCAGCTGTTGGTCGTGGCTGACGCGTGTCCTGCTCCGTCCACAGCAGGAGGGCAGCTGGCGACTGAACCGCTCCAGCTACTACCAAGAGGGCTGGCTGGCCACCGGCAACGCCCGGGCCATCGCCGGCGTCACCTTCACCTCCTCGCACAGCCGGAAGCACACCGACCTGCCCGTCCGAACCAACTACAACCTGCGCGGACACCGCAGTCAGGTGCAGGGAAACACTGCTAGCCATTCACGGCGGCAACAGAGCCGCACCGAGTTGTGGGAAGGGGGCCGGGGCGAGAGACGGGATTTTTTGTTATTTCTTTCCAGTCTACCCCCCTGCAGCCAATGTTGGAGGGGGGGGGGACACGCTGTTCCTCTAGGGCACGTGCTCCTGGCTCTTCCCAACTGCATGCGCGACGCTTGTTTTGCCAATACAGTAGTGACATGTGTACGGTAGTGACATGTGTACGGTAGTGACATGTGTACGATAGTGACATGTGTACGGTAGTGACATGTGTACGGTAGCGACACAATCCGAGTGGAATCTGAAAGAACCATTCAAGACCAATCGGGCACTTTTTTTAATCTGACCGATGTAGGAAGCTCACCATATTAACTGTTTTGAAGGGTTCAAAGATTCAGAGAAGTATTCCATTGCTGGCGGGGTTTACTCTGCATGGCAAGGGTCCATTGTCGCCCCTTCCTTCGTCAGGTCATGGTTTTCATAATGTAAGTGTGATCTTCTCAGCTAAAGATCACTTTTGAGTGAAGTTTTGTTGCAGCTTTTTAAATGCTGTTAAGAAAGAATTGCCTGAAAAGTTAATCATGTCAGTCTTTCATCACTCAGTCTTTCATCATTCAGTCTTTCATCACGCATCAGTCAATCAGTCTTTTAAACATCACTTTTTACATCGTCTATTTTTTAGTTTTTGTTGTTAGTTGTCTTATGCCGTGTGTGTATGCCAAAATTTCAGTATTTTGTGGGAACATTTGACGCGCGTGGCCGTGGTCACATTGCAGTTGATGTCTTATCGCCCCTTCCGTGAGGTGTATTATGATACTTCCTTACAGAGAGGTTGTTGCGCCACCAATATGGCAAGCAGAACAAAGCCTGCATTCTTTGTAAGAGCAAGATAATTGCGTTTCGACATTTCTGCTCCGAATGAGCAGTTTTCATAAAAATATCGCCAGTTTGCCATTTTTGTATGCATATCCAATCTAAGTATAAGCCTGCGTAGTCATTTTACCTTTTTCTACACCAAAGTCCTCAATGATTTCTCGTTGAGTTTGTTGGCTGAATCTCAATTTGTCTAGTTTGTTGGCAGTAAAATAAGAAGCACAGTAATTTATGTTGTAGTTGGATCGGTGTTTATGTTTCTTGATGACGGTTTCAGTGTTTAACTAGCAAGTAATTTATGTCCCTGTCAACCCCACAATTCGAGTAACCGTTGTTTACTAGCATTTGGTGGCGCCGTTCAGTTCAGCGTGCAAAAACTCAAAGCTCAAACATGTACGCAATGCCCTGCGAACTACTGCTCAAATAATGCCGTTTGTATATCTTACTTGACATTCACAGCGTGCGAACATTGTGCATTCTAATTTTATAGACCTTCCTATGAACGGTTGTTGCAAAGTCGAACATGCAAGGTTTTTCATAGTGTTAAAATTTATTTAGGATAAAGCATAGGTAAGTATTAAATAGAAAACTAAAAAACAAGAAAAGAAAATATCTTGATGATATTCCACCACGGCAGCGGACCAGGAACCCCTATCAAGCAAGTCCTGTCGTGATGCATTTGCAGGTCTAACCGCCGAAGTGCTCTACTTCGACCCGTTATACGCTGAACTACTCTCCACGGAATTGGCGCGTTTGTTTTTTGCAAGCAGGCACACCCACACACCATCTTGGTCATTAGCGCGTGCCCCTCGCGATGAGGCAGCACTTACCTTTGCTCTTATTAATGTTGCAGTCGAGATGCTTTTAAACTGGGAATTGTTTTCTATTTGTCATGAAATGTTCTTAAAAGCACAAAAATGGGCATGAAGGTACGGCCTGGTAATGTAACTCTTACAACGAAATGTCATGATCCCGCAAGGTCCTCCTGAGATGTCATCTGCGTAAAAACTTTTCATTTTATTTCAGTCATCTATTTTTCTATACCTACTTTCTCTTCCTCGCTCTAACGCTCGTTTCTCTTCGCTTCTCTTCTCTTCTTCTATTCCCTTCTCTTCTCTGCTCTTCTTTTTCTTGTCTTCTATTCTATTCCCCTCTCTTCTCTCTCTTTTCTTTCTTTTCTTCTTCTCTCTTTTTCTCTTTTTTCTCTCTCTCTTTTCTTCCGTTTATTATCTCTTGCTCTTCTCTTTCCTTTCTTCCTTCTCTTCTTCCCTCGTTTCTTTCCTTTTTTCTTCTTCTCTTCTCTTCTCTTTTCTCTTTTCTCCTTCTTCCTCTTTTTTTCTTCCTCTTTTTCCCCTCCTTTCTTTTCTCTTC